AATATAAATAAAATGTATTGTTAAGGTCTGTGTATGCCATAAGAAATTCAAAAATATGTTTTTCATTATCAGTTTCTGGAATTTTGACTTTAATTATTTTATGGTTTTGATAAGTTTCCTGCGTTATATCAGTTTTTGGGTAAACGTTTGGGTATACTAGAATTTGGTGTACTTTGTTGTTTACTATTTCATCTAAAATGGGTATTCCTTGATTCGTCGTTTCGTTCGCAGTTGAATGTTGTGTTGATTCATCTAAGGTCTCGTCTTGTATATCTGGAGGTATTCTTATATCGGAAATAATATTAATTTTTCTTGAATTGTTATCGTTACTCGTAAAAGGTTGTGCGTCTAATGGATTTTCTGCAAATTTTGGAGGTATTTTAGAATATCTTCATCTACATCTCCAGGATTATTTATTATTGATTCGTCCTCTAGGGCGTTTATTGTAATACGAGATAGACAGTCTGCGTTTGTATTGTTTTTTCCCTTTTTATATATAATTTTATAATCGTACTCTTCCAGTTTTAGACGCCATCTGATTAGTTTTGAGTTTGGCTCCTTTAGGCTGAAAAGCCAAGATAGTGGTTTGTGATATGATCTTTCTTTTGTTTCATTTGGATTGCGATAAGGACTGGATTGAGTTTCATAAATGTTCTCGTAAGGAAGTTCATTAGCTCCTTGAGATGGGTGTACGTAATCAGTGGGAATATTATTTTCAAAGGGGTTTTCGAATTGTATTTGATCGTTATTAATTTGTTGATTAAATAATTGCGTGGAGGTAAAATGTGGTCTAGATCTTAAAGAAGTATTTCGTGAAGTTGTATCCATCGGTTCTGGCTGGTATTGATTTTGATTTTGGGATTGATTATTAACATTTCTTTGTTGAAAATTAGGATTATTATTATGGAAGTTCCTTGGTCGGAAATTAGAATTATTATTGTCGAAATTCCTTGGATTAAAGTTAGAATTATAATTATTGAAATTTCGGAATTGATTTTGATGTGGCTGAAAGGTATTGTTGGGATTAAAATTATTATTTAGGTATTGCGGTCTGATGTTTTGATATTGGTAAGGTGGAAATCTCATATTAGGGCGATTTTGTTGTAAATTATTTCTAGGAATAAAAGTTCGATTAGAATTATTGTTTCTCGTAGGATTATGTCTCGATGAGGGTCTAAAAGAATTTTGTGAGTTTAAATTATTTCCGCGTTGTAACGAATATAGAAAATTCTCTTCTTCGATAACGAAGCTCATAGCTTTCTCTAAACTATCTGGGTTTCTTAATCTTATATTTGTTTGTAACGATAAGGGTAAGCCTCTAATGTAAGTCTTTAAACATAAGTCATCGTAACTGTTTATTCTAATTAATTTCTCTTGTGCATTAATATTAAGCGTATTTAATTTTTGTGTTACTAAACTACGTGTTTCTTGGCATCGCATGCCAAAATTATAAGGGGTTTCATTTTTGAAAGGCCTCAACGTTATTAGGTCTTGAATAAGGCAATCGAGATCTCTCTGGTCTCCAAAACTAAGATTAAGGGCATCTTTTACGAGTTGCCATGTATTTAATTCTGTCCTAGAACCTATTAACATTTGAGCTCTTCCATTTAATTTACCTAATATAGCTCGAAGTAAAAATGTATTCAAGGTGCCGTCTGTTTGACTAGCAAAATTAGTTATTAAATTTTCACAATTTTCTATAAATATGGTTAAGGTATGTGGATTACCATCGTAGGTTGGGATGGAATCTAAGTAAAGTTTTAATAATTGGTAATTTGTTTGAGCCATTTCGTTATTTGTATCACTATTTGTTTCTAAAATTGAATTTAATTCTGCTACAAGGCTACTTAAATCTAATTTGCTATCACTTTCGCTCATTAAATATTTATTCAGATAATATATCAAATTGTGATAAAATATAAAATATGTTTCAATATAGAACGTTCAACTTCAATATAATAAGATATTGTCAAAAATATAATAATATAATATAATAATAATAATAATCTTTTTCTTATTAAAAATATCTTGCAAAATCATAAAACATTTAAAAAATTGTTTGCTCTCGTTAGCTCTCTGACTATAAGTATTTTCAAATATGGAAATAATAAAATGGAAAATAAAATGGAAAAAATAGGAAACACTTACATTAAAATGTAGATTTTCAACATTGCTGCCTATAGGATTCGACGATTTGGTTCTTCTCCCAGGTCTCGTTGAAACTACTGCTTAAATCTACTGCCTCTAGGGTTCGACGATTTTTGTTCTTTCCCCAGGTCTTGGTGATACCTTGTCTAAAGTTGATCTTGGACACTTTCACAAAAAGTTCGTTTTTTCGGTGAATCGTTAAAACGAAAAACTACGCGAAACCGTTCGATTTTTGTAACGTTTAGCGTAATTCCCGAAAATCTGTACTGACTGCGCCAATGATGTTTCTAAGTCCAAGAACAATATTTTTAAAAAATAACTTTATTGACAAGGGACTACTTACTACAGTAAAATGCAAAATAAGAGTGACGCTATACAATGCAAAAGTAAATTAAGTAAGCTCGGTGACGCCGAGGTGTAGCGTGCTGACGCTGTCCTTTTATTATAGTTGAATTAGCAGTTCTGGTTTCTTAACTTATATATATATTTAAGATCTAAGTAAACTCTTAATAATAGATCGAATGATGTTTTGCTCGTATATTCCTGAAGGTAATTTTATGATTATGGATACGAGTTTTATTAAATATTACTCTCAGATACAAGTCGAGACTTTCTGCGAGACGTACATACATTTTCTTGTCGATATTGCAGTAGAAAATCGTCGTCTTGGTTATATTTCGATTATTTTTCTCCATATTGTCCCAGATCCTGAGAGAATCCCCAGTGAGAAAAATGCAAGCGAGTGTGGGGTATTCCTACATTTTAGCTGCAATAGTTGTATGTTGGTGAAATCGTGCGGGACAAATTGCTATTAGAAACAGAATTCAGGCATCTTTTTCTTCTTCTTCTTCTGATTGTCTACATATTAAGGAACCGTCTCTTGTCGTCTTCACTAAGCTTTTTGTTGTCATTAGGCTTATATGATCGTTTAATTCTACCCTTCTATTGCTTATTCAGTCTTTGATGTTCTCCACCTTGCATCTACGTCGTATATATGTACTTCTAGCTCTATCCCGTAGTGACTTATCATCAATTTTTCATATATGCTATTTTGAACCTCCATTTTGTCCTCTGTGTGTCAGGTCGTGTTTCTGCCGCATATGATATTATTAATTTAATGACTATTTTGTAAATTCTGTCTTTAATTTATTTCCTGTTTTTTTATTTGTCCATATTGCGTTGTTCAGACAACCTGCGGCTCTGTTGGCTCTACTCACTTGATCATCCACTTCAGTTTCGAGCCTTTCGCAGCTAAATATTATGATCCTTAGATATTGAAACTCTATCTTTTGTTCTATTATGTGATCTTTCAGCTTCAATTTACATCTTGGTAAATTTGCTGTTTTTGGGGAAATTAACTAAATTGGTGCAGAATACGTTGTAAATCATCTTCACTTCTAAGAGAGTAGTATTACGTCGTCTTTAGTTTAGAGTATTAGAAGATTATTTTAAGCTGTTTTTCTTTCATTTGGTATCCTCTTTTAATTCTTACTATTTTTTATTATTTTATTTAGAATCAAACTGAATAATAAAGGATTCAGGGAATCTCTGCAACGGAGACAGAATCTGTCTCCGGCTTCTATATACCATTTAGCTCCGCCTACCTTCAAAATTTTAAGTGTTTGTTTGTCTTTGTGTAGTGTATGTTATGTCCCATTTTATATTTATGACATTCCACTATTGTCGGATGGGCCGCAATTAACGAAATGCCCCTGAAGATGATCTAGTGATCGAAAGTACTTTGGCAAGATTAAATTAATACTGTGCTCTATATTTGCCTTGTACATTATCAAAGTTTTATTAAGTTATTGTCTGTTTCCTTGAAATAAGCGATCTTATATTCCATGTAATAATTCTCATCTGGGTTTTGAATATTTTTTGCTTGTCGTTATTTCTTGCCATCGTTTTTACAATTGGTGGGTTGCTAACCTTGCCAATCATCCTCCACACTTCATCAAGGTTTGGGACCGAGTGTGGTAACCGCAGAGCTATTCAATCCACCCAGCGGTTACCCCAGGCAGTGCTGCATTCAGGTATCAAATGTTCGAAAATATTTTCAGGCCATAGCAACAAAAATACCTTCTTTAATATAACAAAAATTATACTCATCAAATGGCATTTCCTACAGTAAATCCCGCCATGATGGTAAGGTCAAATATCGAAAGAACTACGTAAAGCATACACATTAGATTATGTAAAGAAAAAATCATAGAATCATGACAGTAAAACTTGTACTTGATAAATAAGTGTTAAATGTTGTATGTGGGTATTCTCAAGTCGGGCTGGGTAAAAATGATAGAATGGTTTTTTGAGATAAAATAACACATAAATAACTAGGATTTGAATGAAGAAAATAGTTTGGATACAGATTTTCAAAATGACAAGGTTACGAAAAAGAACCTAAAATTAGCAGTAACAAAAGCTAAAGAAGAAACATATACCATCAAATTGATACCAGGAAGAATGAAACCAAGATATTAAATAACCAAACATAAAACAAAGAAAGATATTTTTGATAGATCAGATTATATCTATCGGAAACGCAAGTAATAAAATAATAGTTTACAACCAAGATCAGCTAGCAGAGATAATGACTGACATAATGAAAAACATTATAAATACCATCATCTTGATGCAAGTTATTTTAAAAGAATTTTGATTTTCGGTATTTAGTTTAAAGAACGTGCATTACATCAATAATTGCAATGGGAGGACCAATAAAATTTTAAACTATTTCTCAAATATACGAGAATTACTAAAACTAAATACTAAAACGAATTACCTAGTTCTTCTAAGATCATATTTAGGTTAATTATTTTTCTCAATATTAATTAGTTTTTTTTTGTTTTTAGGTTGCAGAACCAAAAGTGCGAGGGGTTTTAGGCTCTCTTTTTTCTTTTGTCTTTATTATAGGAATTTTTTTAATAAACAGCGTTGGCTCTTATGTTTCTATACATACAGCTGCTTTAATATTTTTAGTACTGCCAGTAATCTTTGTAATTATATTTTTCAAAATGCCTGAAAGTCCATACTTTTACGTTATGAAGTCAGACTTTAGCAAGGCGGAAAAGTGTCTACAAGTATTAAGAAGAAAACGACACGTGGAGAGAGAACTCACTACTTTGGTAAATGACATCAATCGCCAAATGTCGGAACCTGGAAGATATAAAGATCTTTTCGTAATTCAAAGTAATCGGTTAGCTTGTATGGTTATGTTTGGTTTAAGAATTATTCAGCAACTTAGTGGAACTTCTCCGATTTCTTTATATATGCAAATTATATTTGAAAAATCAACAGACATTATGTCTAAAGATTTGGCTTCTATTCTTATATTTGGTCTGCAACTTAGTGTTAACTTCACTGCAGTACTCATTGTTGATAAAATTGGAAGAAAACCATTACTTATTACATCTTGCTTAGGGTGTTCTATGATTCTTACAACAATGTCGATTTATTTTATCTTGCAAGACCACACTAATCTTAACCTTGCTAGCCTAAACTTTGTTCCTTTAGTTGGAATAGTTCTTTTTACTATATTTTTTGCTATCGGACAGGGCAATGTTGTTAATCTAATGATGGGAGAAATGTTTTCTTCAAGTATTAAGGCAAAAGCATCTTGCTTAATGAACATACTTTTTGCCATTTTTATGATGCTCACCACCAAATTATTTCAGCTCACTTCGGATTATTTTGGAATGTACGTGCCGTTTTTATTCTTTGCCATTTGTCAACTTTTAGGAGTTGCATTTTCATATTTTGTTGTACCGGAAACAAAAGGAAAGAGTTTAGAGGAGATTCAGCAGGAACTTAAGAAGAGTTGAAATACAATCCGTTACAAGGTTTTGGAATTTTGAATTTTATTTGATACAAACATTCTTACAAAATTTAGATGGAGATTTCCAAAAGAAACGAGAAAATATGTAATTAATAAAAATTATACGAAATCACCCATTTTGTTTGCTTTATAAGTTCGTACATTTCTAAAGTCCTTAATAACAAAAAAAAATAATAATCTGGTGAAACGTGAAGGTAATTAGTGTAGTTTACAGTAGACTGTAGTTGATTTTATATATTCAATAGTAGTCTAGTCGTTAGAGATTTGATTTTTAAAAACAACACGAGAAATCTGAATTTTACTGAAAATGTCAATTTTGAGACCTCAAACAGATGAAAAAAAGTTTGCCACTCCTACTTCCGTGCTTGGGGCCGGGGATGCGCTCTTCTTCTAATCGTCGTAAAGGTGAGCGGAAAAAGAACAAATCTCAGGGGACAAGTTTTGCACGGAGAGTCTTAGGACTTTGCACCTCCTTAAACTATCCCAAGACCGCTGGGTACCCCCAACAATGATTAGGGGTGTGTAATCAATCTTTGATTGCACCCTTCACGTGGTGGCCCTGTTGAAACTAAACTCAGCGGATCTAGAGTAGATAGTCGATAAACAATCCCCACGCCAAGCCGTGAGACACCGTGGTGAAGGCTGTGAGGCATTGGGGTGACAGTGTCGCAAACGGTTTCTTTGGGGCAGCAGGTTACACCCTATAGTATTTAGACCTTACCCTCGCAGCGAGGCTCTGCGAGGGGTTGACTGTCTTTCCATAGTCATAGTCACTTTTCATGTAATACTTGGTAATTGCGTAAAGAGCGTTTGCATTATGTAGACTAGGAATTAAACGAGTTCGCTTATATTTTTGTGTGGATAAAGTTGAGCAAAATTAATTATTTTTGTCCGAAATATTAAAAGTACAGTAGGTGATGTTTTGATGACGATAAAATAAAGTCACTACAAGTAAAATTTTTTACTTGTAGTGACCTAGTGGGTATGTTCTATGTTTTACAATTGTGACGTCTAATTGTTAATATCGAATATTTACATGCTTGTCAATATATATTCTTGAAAAAGGCATGGATTTCCCGCCGAAACGTCGGAAAAAATATATAAAAATGTCTTAGTATCAAACTAAATTTTTTTATGAACCTAAGCCCAAGAGAATTCACTAAAACTATATATTTAGGTTCAAGAACTAAACTCAAACAATATATATATATATATATATATATATATATATATATATATATATATATATATATATATATATACCTATATATATATATATATATATATATATATATATATATATATATATATATATATATATCGTATGGCCAATTACAACACAGTTAGAACAAAATTACAAACACTAGTAATATAGGTATATGACAAACTTTAAATAATTACAAACAAACATCAAGTGTATTAACATAATCAATTCACTCTGAAGTTGCAAACAGGAAGTCTTCAGGGCTACCGTTGTAGGATCTTGAGGGACACTCTTCAATAATGTGGTCGATCGTTTGGTTTTTTCGACAGTCACAATAAGGAGAAGGATTCTTTCCCCATTTATGTAGCATATATGCACATCTGCCATGTCTGGTTCGGATCCTGTTCAGAGTGGACCATGTTTTACGTGGAAGATCAAAACCTGATGGCCTGTGAGTAATGTAGGGCCTGTTATTTTGCCATGCATTCCATTCTTGGGACCATGCATTCGTGATGTTGAACTCTTCATGTATCATTCTTGCCGTTTTCATTGGTGGTTTTCTAGAACGTAGCTTGGTGGATCGGCAGGTTTATATTGTTCATGATCTTTTTGTATTCACGTGTAAGTGCGTCAACTCGTCGTAAATGTGGAGGTGGAATGTGACTTAATACTGGAAGCCATTGGGTGGGAGTTGATTTAATTGTACCAGCTATCATCCTCATAGTACTGTGCAGCTGAGTGTCGACATGTTTTATGTGTGGACTGTGTAGCCAAACTGGGGCACAATATTCAGCGGTCGAGAAAACAAGGGCTAAAGCAGTACAGCGGAGAGTGGAAGCCGATGCTCCCCAGGTAGTACCGCAGAGCTTCTGTATAATGTTATTTCTTGTACTTAACTTTTGGGCAGTTTTTGTTAAATGCTTTTTAAATGATAGCGTTCTGTCTAGTGTTACGCCCAGGTACTTCGGTGTTTTGTTGTGGGAGAGTGTGGTATTTTAAAACAGTATGTTGAGTTTCTTTCCAGCAAGTTTATTGTTCAGCTGAAAGCAACTTACTTCTGTTTTGGATGCATTTGGTTGAAGCCGCCACTTGCGAAAATATTTGCTCAATATATATATATATATATATATATATATATATATATATATATATATATATATATATATATAAGTCTGCCGTCAGAACTTCTTCAGATGTTTCTAATGTTCTGAATCGTGTAGTGAGGGCTCAGTTTATCAGCGTATCCGAACTTTTTTGATTGTGTTTCTGGCATAGCTGCTAAATATAAGCTAAATAGTAATGAAGAGGGCACTGACCCCAGTGTTACGCCATTCTTAAGTTTTTTTGGTGGGCTGATATCTGTGCCCATCACTACTTGAAACATTCGGTCGTTGAGCATGCTATCTATTAAACGTGCTATTTGTTTACAGGGGATTGCACGGAGAATTTTGTACATAAGGCCCTCTCTCCATACTGTATCGTAAGCTGCCGAGAGATCAATAAATGCCGCTGAAGTTTTAAGTCTTCTTTGGAAACCCGCTTTGATGTAGGTGGTGAGTGACATTACCTGGTCCGCGCAGCTTCGTTCTGGTCGAAAACCCGCTTGTTCGACTGGGATCACCTGGAACAGTTCTGTATTGATTCTATTATATATAAGCATCTCTAATATTTTGTAGATGGCAGAGAGAAGCGCAATTGGTCTATAGTTTTTTGGGTTGTCAGCGGGTTTGCCTGGCTTTGGTATGGCTATTATCTTAGAGCGCTTTAGTTCTTGTGGGATATTTCCAGTTTCCATGATGTCTGTGAAAAATCGAGCCAACCAAACTTTTGTATACTTGCCACAATTTAGTAGGAATTTAGGGTGAATATTATCAAATCCTGGTGCTTTTGCTGGCTTAACGTCTTTAAGAGCCTCTGATATGTCTTCGCTGGTGAAGGGGAGGTAATGCTCTCAGTTAAATATTACATTTATAAATGGCATTAAGCCATTGGTCATGAAATGAATATAATGAAAATAACATTTTTAGTTACTACACTGTTTGACGTTTTGATTTCCACTCCTGAAATCGTTTTCAAAAAATTATATCCATCAAGTGGTTAAGCGAGTTTTTTTTTAAATCTTACGATTGACTTACTTGGTCTTCATGTTGTAGGCAATAACGATTTACCGAGTGTAAATCAAAACGTCAAGCAATGTATCTATCTGACAAAAACTCTGTAAATAATAATATTATAGCAGTACAAAATGCAAATAATAATAAAATCAGTACATTATTTTGAATTTTATATCACTTACACAAATAATTTAATTTTCTGAAGATCGTCATCAAAACATCACCTACTGTACTTTTAATATTTCGGACAAAAATAATTAATTTTGCTCAACTTTATGCAAACAAAAATATAAGCGAACTCGTTTAATTCCTAGTCTACACAATGCAAACGCTCTTCACGCAATTACCAAGTATTACATGAACGTGTTACGACTAATACAAAAATGCATAAAATTACTTTCCCAAACAACCTGTATGTAGCTTTATCGCCTTCTAGTCAGCATCAGTTAGTGAAAATGTATTTTCAAAGCCAATCAAGAAAGCAAAAAAGCCAAAAACAACAAAATTATAGCTCGTAGAAATATTAACGCAGCAGTAAAGAACTGTTTGATTTTGAAATACTAATACTAACCTTTAAGTAAGCAGTTACCAATAATTGTAGTATCCCAGGAGCTAAACCCTTAATTAAAAATATAGCACTTCATTTATTACAAGTTTTAAATGATTTTCTACCCACTACAAGATGTTAAAATATCTATGAAATATTGATGACTTCTGACCCTTTAATTATTTATTTTCAGTAAACAAATTTCATAGATCAATGTTATTTAATTTTAATAATTTTTCAACATGTTATAAGAATATATTATTATACATAAAAAGAAAGAGATGAATTTGCCACTTATTTCAATGATACCCTGATGTACACTTGAGTGCAAAATAATCGACTCAAAAGCGATATTTGAGATTACACCTTCTGTTTCAATGTAAGAAGTATAAAAATAAAAAATGTAATGTGCAAACAGTAACTTTATTATTGAACTTGCAAATGGCGAATGGATTTAGTGTCCGCAGTCATTTCAGAGTTTCTAAGATTTCCCGCAGAGTTTCCTTCCAACTGATTCCTTTTAGAATAGATATCGAAGTTATGTCTCAGTTAAAAATCATTAAACATAAATAACTGGAAAAAACCATTGAAGTGAAATCTAATTAGAAAGTTGCAAACTTGGATAGTTAAAAAAATAAATCTCTATATCTTTAAAAATATTTTAAAAAAACTTAAAGAAACTAAAAATTTTCTTCCTAATAGGGTTTGAAAAAACACAAAAAGAAGTCGATTTTTATTTTCAAATTGTAATTTTTTGTTGTATATCAAATTTTTTTTGTTATAGTTATTAAAGGTATAACGTCTTCGATATTTTTTGTATAGGTCCTGTTATATTTAATTGAAGAAATGAATTATGTTTCTTTCTTCATCTTCAATCCTGGTAATAAACGCATCTTTTACCTCTGCCGATACAAATACTTAATTTTATTTTATTTTAATATATAAGTCGATCCGACATTTCTCGAGTTATTATAAAAAAGTTTTAAAAACATTAAATCACGTCTTATAAAATCGATATACGTTCAAAAATCAGCAAGTGCCTTCTTGCATATAAAGCTTTAAATTAGAAAGCAAAATAAATCTTACCTTTAAATTACAACAACCAACTGTTTTGTCAATTTTGCGGAAAAAAATTCGTATTTTTAATTTTTTATGTAATTATTATGTATTATTATCTGTATAGCACCCATGTGGGGGGGGGTTTGGAGGTTAAACCCCCCCCCCCCCCAAGCATATAAAGTAGAAAA